CACACTCCTGACTATGAACCTGCTCAAGTCGCCTAGCAATATTAACCACCTCGTTGAACCTAGCACCTAATGCAATCTCCTGAGTCATGACAAAGCGCAGTCCATATGTGAGGCCATCAATGAACCTCCTAATCCTCTCTCTCTCTCTCTCTCTCTCTCTCTCTCTCTCTCTCTCTCTCTCTCTCTCTCTCTCTCTATGTGGGAACCAACCAGATCGCGTGACGAGCTAACTCTGAAAATATCATCTCATACTGGGTCACGGACATACCTTCCCAGCGTAGCTTCTCAATCCATGCGAGTCTGAGGAACAAACTTCTCCATTAAGAGAACAGAGAACTCGTTCCACGTAAATAGTGTAGCACCGGCTAGCCTGCTCATTTCATAGGCCTCCCACCATCTCAAGGCTGTCCTAGACAACTGAAAAGTTATAAATGAGACTCAATTAGTCTCCATAATACCCGTCGTGCGAAGAATCCGCTGGCACCTATCTAAGAAGTCTTGAGCGTCCTCTGACTGAGACCCACTAAATGATGGAGGGTTGAGCCTCCTAAATCGTTCTAGCCTCTTTTGCTCCTCGTCACTCATAGGTGGACCCACCGGAGCCTGAGCTGCTATAACCAGTTGGGTTGGTAGTACCCCCGGTGTCTGAAGTCCCTGAACCACCTGCTCTGGAGTAAAGGCAGCGGGAGTCTGAGCACCTTTCCCGGCCTGAAAAGTGGAAGGTGCGGCCAAAACTGAAACCGCCCGAGCAAGGCTAGTGCATACAGTCAATATTTGGGCCAAAGCCTCCTGAAGGCCTTGATCACAATGGGCACAACTGGTGCCTGATCTGGTCCAACGGCTCAACCACATCTGGAATATGCTCCTGAGCTGGAGCAATGGATGGCTCCATAGGTGCTGCTCTAGCTGTTGTACAAGCTGCACCTCAGCCTCTACCGCGACCTCGGCCTCTCGTGGCCCTAGCTGGTGGTACTGGTGGCCGTCCACCCGATCCGGTAGCACGTGTCCTCACTATTTGTGAGAGAATAAAATAATTAAAGTTTAGTTTTCGGATTTAACAAATTCACACGACAGGACTACAAGAAAGCAAAGTTTTTCTAATGGTTCGGTAGCCTCTCAAAGATAAGTACAGACGTCTCTGTACCGATCCGCAAGACTCTACTAAACCTGCTCATGACTCATAATACCTATGAACCTAGGGCTCTGATACCAACTTGTCACGACCCCAAATCCTAACTCGTCGTGATGGCGCCTAACACACCGGTTAGGCAAGCCGAAACATGATAACGAAGGCAACCTAATAACGAAATTCTAGAAATAGCATAAACCTGAGGTCTCAATACAATAAAAACTGCTAATACAAAGTAAATCCCCCCAAAACCTGGTAAGTACAGAGTCATGAGCTTCTACAACAGAGTACAAATCTGAAACTGAATAATAAATACACTGTCTGAACTGTAACAATAGTATAAAAAAGAAAAGATAAGTCAAACTGCGACCAAAGATGCAACTCTACCTCGCCTCTAGCAGATAGTCCAATAAGCAAGCCTATTGCTGATAACTGGTCCCGCAACTGGATCTGCACAATTAAGTGTAGAGTATAATATAAGTACAACCGACCCAATGTACTCAATAAGTATCGTAAATAATACGGCAAGGTAAGAGAAGCACAAATTATTAATGATACTGGCTATCACCTGTTTAGTTTCATCCCTTAAACTGGTACAAAATAATATTGAAATCAAATCATCAAGTTTAGTAAGAAAGCATCCGTGTGTATGTGTGTGATTTCTCAAATACTCTACTTAGATAATGTCTTTGGCATATAGAAGTAATATGTAGTTATATCAGATAAATGATCAAGTAAATTGCAAGTAAATATAATGCAAAATCCAACAAAACAATAGTAGATTCCCTCACTTTCCCATATCTATTCCAAACCACTTATTAGTATTTTCAATATCTGCGTGTACACCATCAAGAGAGAAACACGAGAGGGTGACCCTAGAGGGATGGATCCGTATTCACATGTTGCACGGACAACTCACGTGCTAATAATAGAACTCGCACGGACAACTCACATGCTAATAACATCAATAAATGGATATGCACGTACAACTCACGTGCCAACAACACAATCCTCCCGGTATGATCACAGGCACAATAACACAATCCGTCCGGTATGGTCACAGCCCCCCAGTCCAATCATATCATACATGAGCAAATAAACAAGTATACATGTATCAAACGAGTGAATAACAAATCTCATGCTCCTGGATTGGTATAAACAACATGCTAGTGTAGGCATGTGCAAGTGTACTATTATAACTCAAACCAGCAATTTCATCAAAGATTAATATTTATCAGTTCATTCTGGGATTAAGACCCTATGTAGCCTCAAACATAGCTTAAATAGTTCACAACAATGTCACAGGTGTGCAAAGCATCATAGCTTAAGGTTTAACAGTCAAATTCTAGGCTTATAAGAGCCCGAGCACAACCCGAACATGAATAAATAATTCCGGTGCCCGCATATGGGTTCATCCCCATGCATGTACGCACCCAATAGCATGTAGCTATCACAATAATTCAGGTAACCAGTGCCTCAACCGAGTTTAGATAAGATACTTACCTCAAACGAATCAAATCACTCCGCTAGCAAGCCATTTCCACACGTATCGACCTCCGAGAGGCTCGAATCCCAATTGATTCATTGAAAATCCCTCTTAAAGTCGCCACAAACCGAGCTCTCTAAGTCCAAAAGATGAAGAATGAAATAAAACCCTTATTTTTTAAATTTATCTATGCTGCCCAGTTATTGACTTTCGCAATCACAGACCAACAATCACGATCGCGTAGAACAAACTCTCCCTAACTCATAAATCTTCTTCGCGATCGCGTGAACTCAGCCACGAACACAGAGAACCACCTTCCCAAGCTTATGCGACCGCGATACACCACACGCGAACACGAAGAACATCGCGTGCCTTCCCGATTGCCTCACTTCCTTATACGCGCGATCCACTGCACGCGTTCGTGAAGCACAAGTTCCTCAACTTCCTTAATCACGCACCTTACTTCGCGAACGCGAAGAGAAAAATCCAGCAGTCCTCAAAGACCCTTCGCGATCGCGGACCTTCCCTCACTATTGCGATGAAGGAAACCAGAACACAAAAAATCAACAGTCCTACAAGGCTAACATGAAGCCAAACTTGATCCGAATCACACCTGAGGCCCCTGGGACCCCATCTGAACTTACCAACAAGTCCTAAAACACGATACGAACTTAGCCGAGGCCTCAAATCATATCAAACAACATCAAAAATACGAATCGTACCCCAATTCAAGCATTTCGGAGTCATTTACATATAAGTCAACATTCGGTCAACTTTTTCATCTTAGGCTTCAAACCTTGAGACTAAGTGTCTCAATTCATTCTGAATCATCCCCGAAACCAAACCAACCATCCTGGTAAGTCCCATAACAACAAATGAGCATAGAACAAGCAATAAATGGGGAACGATACCATAATACTCAAAACGACCGGCCGAATCATTACAACACTATTCTTATACAGCCTACCAAACGACCCCTATGAAGTCTTTAATAAGGGCATCTCCAATCCTTGCACCGTTTTTACACCAAAATGGTGCAAATTAATTCCAATCCATTACACCATTTTTTACACCAAAAAAGAATATCTTTTTTATGTTATTCTCTCTCTTCTATATTATATTATTTTCTTTTATTTAAATTTATTTTTTATTTCATAAAACAAATCCTTTCCTTTTTCTTTCTTACATATTTATTTCATATAATTCATATTCCTTTCTTATATAACCATTTAATATAAAATTATTTTATACCATAAATTTTAAATAATATAAATTATAAGCAAATATTATATATTATACATATTAATGGATAATTCAAATAAAAGTGAAATCATTGATAAAATATAATTAAATAAATATTACATTATGATAAAAATTAATTTAATTTTTACATAAATATTCGACTTTCAGGATTAGTATGTTGCTCCCATAAATGCTCTATTAATGCATTACGAAATGCAAAATGAGCATCTTTGCCCTTAATGTTCTGTGTCAAGCTAAAAATTATTCAAAACGATAATTTTCATCTACTACAATTTCTAGTGTTGGAGCTGGACCTTCCCAAGCATCTTGAATTGGTGCATTAAGATCACACTCATCCTCGATTATCATGTTGTGCAATATAATACATGTAGTTAATATGTCATGTAGCACCTTTTTTTCTCCAAAAATGTGACTGCCCTGCAATAATTGCAAAACGAGATTGCAAAACTACGAATGCATGTTCAACATCTTTTCGATATGATTCTTGTTGCATGGCAAAATATTTATTCTTTTGAGAACGTGGCTCACGAATAGTTTGCACAATAGTAGAACAAAAGAGAATAATGCATAAAAGAAGTCAACAATTTCAACAGCCACAACCACGCCAATCCTCTGCCACATACATCCAAATGTGGAAGCAACCTACCAGAGTACTAAATTATTGTAATAATTTTCTTATCCCATTATGTTATTTAATGTATTTTGAATTTTAATCTAAATCAGTCGCTACTGTATTAAATATTTGATTTTATGTTATTTAATGAACATTGTGTTATTTATTAACAATTATTATATTGTATATTTTCACTTTATATTTTTGTGATGGTTATATTTTTTTTTATACAATTATAACTTATAATAAAATTAACTTATAATTTTATATAAAAATAATATATACAAAAATTAATTTATAAAAATTATACACTAAAATTAATATTATAATATGCAAAAAGTATAAGTAATTATAAAATATATAATATGTCAAATTAGAAGTGTTATATAATAAAAGATATATTAATAAATATTAATGATGTTGATTAATAGTGTTACAACTATTCACACGCCAAAATAGTGTGAAAAATGGCTTGGGTTGGAGCACCAAAATAACAAATCTTACTCCAAAATATCATTTGGCGTAAAAATTGGCTTAGGGTTGAGATGGTCTAAAGGCCCCTCATATACACGTCTAGCTCCGCACAAAATCCCTCGGCTCTTCAAAGTTTCTCGGTTCTGTACTTTTCTTCCTTGCTGAAGAATCAGTCTTTGAGGTACATCTTCTATTGAACTTGTGTTTCTTTTTCTTTTACTTTGCCCAATTACTGAAATTGTTGTCTTTCGATCGTTATGTAATTTTTGTTTGGGATTCGTGTCCCGCATCTTTTACTTAGGACAAACCACAACAATTCGAAAAATAATAAAGAAACTTTGTTAAGTTTGAGAATTTGTTGTTTGTTTCCAGAACTAAAGGGTTAATTTCCGAGGTTTTACTCCTATTTTGTTTTGTTTTTTCCCTGGAGTTGATTGTATTAAGGTAGTTGACCAATCTTAGGGAAAGGAAAGAATCAATGTTTATACAAAATTTCTGATATTGGAGCTATGTAATGCTAGCAAGTTTTCTCAGTTAAAAGAAACAATTCTTTTTTATTAATTTGATGAAAAATCTTGGTTAAACGTATTAGATTTGTGATTTATGGGAAACAATAAATTTTACTTAAATTTATGAAAACATTTATCTATGGAACTGCCATTTTTTTTTATAGTGGGTTTTATAGGGTTCTTTCTTGTACTACAAGTGTGCAACTCAGTGGTATGTTAAGGGTGTTGATGACAAACAACATTTTTTTTTACCTGTACAACCTTCAGTTAAGTTGAAACTCTTTCCGGAGGATTATCATTTGGTTTACACTAACAAATTTGTGCTCTGGTTCTAGGTGGATGTAATTACATAAAGTATGTCATGGAATATTTTAGGCTAGGTTGAGCCTTATTACACCTAGGGTGTAGGATGTCATCAAATGCCTTTGCCGTGATTCATCTCCCTTCAAAGCTGATCTTTAGTGGTTATTAACCCGAAGAGTCAAAATGTGGTGACTGTAAGTCTTTGTATTGTGAGGTGTCCACCTCTAAGATAGGGTATGCCTTTAGGCGTCAATTTAGTCATCTTCAAGTTATTCATTAGAAGATAATATCTATTTGTTGTCTTCTAGTTAACTTTAGTTTGTAAAAGTCATTTGAAGTCTGGAGCCTCTATTTATATAAAGAGCTCGTTCGTTTCTTTTGTAAAAAAAAAGTGGTGGAACTCATTTAGAGCTTGCACAAAACAAGAGAGGCTCTTACTAGAATAGTTCTTTTATTTGTTCCTTGGAAATCTCCTAAAGCCCAATTAGATTTATTTGGTGCTTCCTTAACTCATTTAATTTAATGTGCTCTAGACTTGCCTCTGTGAGATGTATATTGGAAAAAGCAAGCTCGTGCAAGTTTTGATCCTTTGCTATGGTACTTGTAGTTGGTTCATATATAATAGGTAGGTCTTGAATATGAAAATATTAGAAACCAAAAGAGTTCTCCAGAATTGTCTGATGCGCATGAGGGACTTTGCGCTGTGATGGCTGAGCTTGCAGGGATCCCCACTAGTGATGCTACAGGAAAAACTCGTAGAGTCCAGGGTTCTGATCCCTTCTTGAGAAAGTTAAAAAACTCCGCATGTACTGTGGAGAATGGTGGATGTATACGTAGCCAGTAAATCAGCTTTATGGTCTATTACCGAATGGAATATTCACCACACCCTGCATGCAAATTTGTTTAACTTTTGTGAGGGTAAACTTGAACTCCGAAATGCACGACATCTTCCTGACTCTGATCCCACCCAGTTGAAAAGGATATCTTGTCCAGTAATGGGCTCGAAGCCAATTTATTTACTCGATGACTGGCCTATCAAACAAAGTTTGAAATACGATCATCTTAAAAGTTGAACTAGGACACCTAGAATTGCTAAATCAATTGTTGTTGGAGACTCAGAAAACCATTTGAATGTTGCAATCAGATTTCAATTTTGAACCCTTTTCGTTATCAGAAAATGTGATTTTCCCTTTAAAATACTTGCAGGGGTTAAAAAACCTGGTTGTAGGTGGTGGCTACATTCTGACACTTCAGTTACCAATGCATACACTTTTAACTCTCTTATGTCAAATGAGTTTACTGTAACTTACTTGAAAAGTATGGTTTTATACTGGTTTTGTAATTATCCTGATAATTTGCTGCTTTTGAGATGCTACAGAGTAAGTAATTCAGAATGAGTGGAACAAGAGAGAATTGATCAGCAACCACCAAGACTCCAGCAGATTTTCTGAAGTCTATTCATGGACGACCTGTTGTTAAATTGAACTCAAGTGTTGACTATCGAGGTTAATCACTCTGATGATTCCTTTTGTTTCTTATATTTTTTTGAACTTGCTTTCCTCTTGCTTATACATTGTTTTTATTTTGTAGTGTTATATTCAACAACATGACTAAGCCATAGCACAAAGTATACTAATAAGAAATGTAGCGTAGTTGCCCTTTTCTCACTTTAAGATTTGTATTTGGACCTCTAATAATTAGTAACAAGAGTAGATGAAAAGGTCCTTGAGATACTAAAGCTATGACACAAAATAAGGTTTTACTAGAGTGAGAAACGTTGAGTATTCTCGCGTTACAGATACTTATTTTCTTATCATCACATTTCAAATATTTGTTAGTCCAGATGACCACCATTTGCCTTATCAATCAAAAGATTACCGCCATTTGCATTGACTATGAATGGTCAGTAGACCAAACTAGCGCTAATCCCAGTACACCTGTGTAATAAATATCTAAATTGATGGATTGTAAAGTAGGAGTTGCTCTGTGATAAAAACTATACTAATACTTTGTGAAAAGTTGATCTTGGTCGTAGGCATCCGTGGCATCCATTATGAAAGTGAGACTAGTAGCCTGTTTTGCCAAGCTTCTAAAATCAACTTATTTCGAAAAGTACTTTTCTCAAAAGTGCTTTTCAAAAAAATTACTTTTGGTGAGAAGCAGTTTGTGTTTGACTAATTAATTGTAAAAGCACTTTTGAGCAGCAATTAGTATTTGGCCAAGCTTTTAAGAAGTGCTTCTAAGTTGGATATCTTTGGACATAAGAATTGTGAAATTCCGGAAATGGTATTTGAAAATTAGAGTTGTGTTTGGACATGAATACAATTTGAAGTTGTTTTTGAAATTTTGTGAGTGATCTGAAGCGAATTTTGAAAAAAACCTTTTGGAGTTTTTCAAATTTTCGAAAAATTCCGAAATTCAACTTCAAGTACAATTTGAAATGGCCTAACACTGATTCCGAAAAAAAAAAGTGAATTTTTCGAAAAAAGTGAATTGTTTAGGGTCAAACTTGCCCTAAGTGTATTTTTTTCGAAACTGTTTTTCAGAAAAATGCTTTGGGTGAGAAGCTACTTTTTCAGCTTCTCAAAAACTGTTTTTGCTTTTACTCAAAAACACTCTTTTTCCTTCTAAAAGCTTGGCCAAACTCTTCACTGTATCTTTGAAAAAAGCACTTTTAGCACCAAAAAAAAAATATTTGGTCAAAAAGAAGCGGCCAAACAGGCTATAAGCTTTTTGACCTGAAGTTAAGAATCATTTGATGCAATTAACATATTGAACATTAATTCTGAGAGATTTTAACCGTATGCGGAAGTTGGAAATACTGTTTGCAAAGTTTATGTGTTACTGGTTAGTATACTTTATTGTTCTCTAGATCTCCTGTATCAATGATTGATTTTATTAGTTGTTTTATGTATTTGCCAATGGGTTCCTGAATAAAATGTTATGTCGAGAGAACCATTTGCTTTTTGGTCCTTTCTTGGTGCTTATGAATGCTTCATTGCATTGTTATTTGGTATTGGTCTCCTTCTCTGCAATATATTCCTATATTCCTGATGTAGTGCATCTTGAAAAGGAATTATCAGCTACAATCCTTTTGAGCCATCACATTTACGGATTCAGCTCCTCTTGAGGGAGCATCTTCTCCTGGTTGTCCCGTTCCAATTAAATTTTTTGACATGTGTTCTTTTAACAATTCAATGAATTTGATTTATTTTATTAATCAGTATAGTACCTTTCCTATCATTCTGCCAATGACTTATACAATATTTTGGCAAAATGGTAAGAAAGATAATATTTTAACTATTGGTTAAACTATATTGATTAGTAAGAAATCACATGTTAAAAATTTAAACTAGAACTGGACGAACAAGAGAGGAGCTGAATCCAAACAATTTGACTCGTCAAAATGGGTGGGCAATTAAGTTTTATGGTTACGACGTCAATGAAAAATCATAACACATGACCCAAATGGAGACTGACGTTCGAAGAATACTTTAGCAAGAGTCAACCATAAAGTTCTACAAGTACTAATTTTGAGGTAGTATATGAAAATTAACCACCATGCTTGCCAACCGTAGTGTTCATTAAACATGGCGGAGGTCCTCTTGTTTATGGAAAGAGACTAGACAATATTAGGTTTTCTGAGGGAGAAAGATGGTTTGTAGGTGGAGGAGAAGAATGCTCTAACCGATTGAGCTAAATCAGTTCTATCGTGAGAAATTTGGAAGAAGAAGGATATAAAATTGAGTCTGACAGTGAAACGGAGAGAGGGAATGTGAAAGACTGTTGACCATGGACCATGGTTAAGACGTCTGAGCTAATACAATAAGTTTATCCATTGAATTTCACATGGGATGTGTCAAAAACTTAATATAGAACTGGAGAAACTTGGAATGGTTACTAACGGGATAGGAGCATAAGATGTTGGCGAAAGGAAAAAATCTCGTCAAGCGGATGGCAGAGAGTGGCTGCCCAATCAGGCCTTTAGCTTGGGATGGTCTTTCCAAACTTTATATTGAAGCAGGAGAAGTGGAGAAAGCCGACTCCATATTGCAAAAAGCTGCGGAACATACCCACTGGAAGCCAAAATTTACTTCTTTTATAGCTATTATGGAAAAATAAGCAAAGAGAGGCAACATTCATAATTCTGAGAGCTGTTTTACCAAATGAGACAAGCTGGATATGCTGGTCGAGTTCGCCAATTCCAATGTCTTATTCAAGCCAATAGCAATGCCAAAGAACCTTGTTATGGAATTGCTGAGAGAATGAATGCTGATAATGTGTTTCCAAGTAGAATGTTGGCAAACATGTTGCCAGACGCCGATCCATTTAAGAAGATCGATGTGTCTGAGTTGTTGATATCTTTCTTCTCGAAGCAAAAGTGCTTCTTGCTTCTCTTGTGTACCTATGTAATTATACTGTAGTAGTAGTGGTTAGTTGCATGATGAACACTTAACAACAGATATCATCAATTCCTCTTTAACTGGGTATGATGCTATTCTTGCTCTGCATGGATTTAAGATGTATTGCTGTCATTGGTTTGATGTATTGTAACTTTGGTTTAACTGTGTCTAGAAGCATTCCACGACACAACACGAATCTTCCTCTGCCTGCATTTGACTCAAGACTCGAGCTTGAAAGCTGTACAAATAAGTGCTGAATCTTATGGAGCACTACAATGACATGCCTTCTCACATAGATCCCCTCACGAAATGGTGTGTTTGAAAACTAAACTTTGCTTGAGTAACTTGACATTATGTTAGCCATCCCGCCATCTAAAACTTATAGCTAGTGCTAACCTTATTCACTAGCTAGGTTTAAAGTCAAGTTTCAGATTCCACCTTTCTCCGAAAATGATATTGCAATGTTCTAATGGTATATAAACAAAAATATTTGCCGTTCCCCGAAGTGATATTGCGGTGTTTTAAGAAATGATATTTGTTAAGATCATCCACTTCAGTTAGTGACTACAATCTCGTTACTTTACTTAACTCCATTCGTTTCCGTTGTAGTCCAAACAAACATGAAATATATGTAAGATCCATTGCTATAGATGTTGGAGTACCGCTTTTTCCTGTCCGAGAATCTCCATCTGCTCTAAGTGAGCGAGAGCTAGAGTCCTCATTCAGCTTGGTTATTCGAAAGACTTGTCTCTTTACCCCTTGCATGTTTGTCTTTTCAAAAGTCATACCCTTCTTCTAAATCCGCACTAGTCCTATTTCATGTGCAAAACCTCTTTAATAAGGACCTCTCTTTAATCTTTCTCCCTCATTCCTCATTTTGTTTATAGAAAGAGAATAAGTTCTATGTATTGAGTAACAACGTGTGTATGCTACTGGGATTTAGGCGGTTGGTGGTTCTGAGAGTTGCGAGTCCTACAGTCTCAACTTGCACTCAAATCTCATTCATTACGCGTCTTACTTGATGCACTGTGGTCCGCGTCTTGACGGTCGTTTGCGCAATTTGTACGTCTAATTGGTTCCAGCCACCCCAACCTTAATGAATGGATTGTGAAGGGGTTAGTCAAGCAGTTGGGGATTTTGGTTGGTTCCTGTTTGCCTTCCCTTTTCATAGTCCATTAGAGGGTAGGGTGGTCAACTTAGAGGGCAGCCACCTCCTCTTTTGTTTCAAAGACATTTAATCACAAACAACTTACAAGCAAATTATGCTTAGCGTACAATTAACTAGTTTTCGAAAATCTCTATAATTATCTATCTATCTACAACAACGGCCCAGTAAAATCCTACAAGTGGGGTCTGGGGAGGGTAGTGTGTACACAGACCTTACCCCTACCCCAAAGGAGTAGAGAGACTGTTTCCGAAAGACTCTCGGCTCAAGAAGACGGAAAAGACGAGAAGAGAAGGGACAATATATTAGTACCATCAGACAGAAATCAAAGAAATAATAACATCATAAGAACTAGAAAATAGTTGAAATGCAATAACAAAATCAGAAAATATACTATATTAAAAGCAGGAAGACCATTAATATAGTATACTATATCTATACTTTTAATATATTATATCTGTACTTTTAATATAGTGTAGATAGATAATTATCTTTTTCACGCTAAGAAGAACTTATTTTATTTTTCTAGTGTTGGCTTTAACGAAAGGAAGTGAACAACAAATGTAGAATAAAAGCAAAAGAAAAAGGCAAAAAATTGGCAATCTAAAAACATTTGGACCAAATTATAAGGAAGCGCAAATGCCAATTTACCTCGGCCCAATTTTAGAAATTCAAATTAGGGCTATCTCTTCAGCCCGTCGATTCCATTCTCCATTTCTTTCTGATAGAACTCAAATCTCCATTTCTCTTCGGCAAAATTGAGTTGTAAGTTCCCTCTTTCTCTCCTAATTTTTGTAGTTAATTATCTATTTGATTATTAATTATTTGGAGCTGATGTTAAGACTAAATTTGAGCATTTTTTAACTATTATTTTGCTAATAGAGATTAGAATTAGGAGCTGTTGGTTTAGCGGTTAGTTTTATTAGACAAGGTATTCTTGATTCTTCTCACACACACGGTGGAAAAAAGAAAGAAGCTATATTTGTTTTTACTTCTAAAGATTGAATAAAATTATAATTCTTTTTAACTTAGAGCTTTTCCGATAAGTAACTGTTGTGATTTTATTGATGTATACCAGTAAAACTGCAAAAGAATGAGTGGTTACATCCAAAAAGACTCAGCTTTATAGTGTGTAAAGAGCTAAGAAAATCTATTAGGGGACGGGGGCTCGGAAACATTGGCCATGGCTAAGTTAGACCAAAAGTTAAGCAAAGATGGAGCTCATCCGGCATTTGATTATAAAATGGATTGACTAGCACTAGAGTACGAGCTAGAATTTGAAGTTTATGAGTTCTGGATTTTAGTCCTTTTAAGTTATGCAAAAGAATGAGTGGTTACATCCAAAAAGACTCAAACTTTATAGTGTGTAAAGAGCTAAGAAAATCTATTAGGGGACGGGGGCTCGGAATCAAATGTCCTGGCTAAGTTAGACCAAAAGTTAAGCAAAGATGGAGCTCATCCAGCATTTGATTATAAAATGGATTGACTAGCAGTAGAGTTCGAGCCAGAATTTGAAGTTTCTGAGTTCAGGATTTTAGTCCTTTTAAGTTACTGAGCTCTAACTTAATAATTTATACATATTCAATAGTTCTGTTAAGGCAAATACAGAGTTTGGATGAAAGCTATTGCGTTGGCCAAACCTGTAACCAAAGAGCTCCCCCCGGACTAGCAGGATGAATTATCCTAAGTAAATGTTTAGGATTACTGTATCCTACATAGAGGGTGGAATTGATAATCTTTGTAAGAGCTTAATTGGACAAGAACTTTTAGGAAACCAGTGCCCCTCTATTTTTGCTGATGTCGGTATGATTTTTTGATTTTTTTTTTAAATCTACTTTATTTTTTAAAAAGTTGTTTGTATATAGATATTTCATTTGGAGCATCTTGATTAATGTTTGGTTAAACTTCTAAGTTGTTCAATGAGGGTTATTTGTTGGATGCATTTGTTTGTGTAATGTGATTTAGTTATCTGATTTTTTGAACTTGTTTTTCAGTTTTGTATACTGAATGTGAGCTTGTGTATTAAAGAGTTCAACGTCAGTCATATATCAGCAATGCCTCACAGAACTCGGCCTATGGCAGCTCTTCTACTGTTTACTGGACTTAATGTTGTTTTGGTCTCAACAATAACTCCTGTCTATGATTTCGTATGCTTCCATCCATATTGGGAAAGAAGAGTAAGACTTGTTCTTTGCATCTCCACTATCAATCTGAAAACTGTTCCTCTATTCAGCAATCATTGGCTTGTATTACGTCTTTACTGTTTCTTGTTTATAATCCTCTGTCCAAGTTATTGTTCGTGATGAGACATTTATTAGAATAAATGTTTTTGCTATTTGTATCTTTTTGTTAGTAGAACTCTTAGTATTTTGCCTTAAATGAATCTTACAATTATCATGAACGTGCTTTGCGTTGTTGTGGCTTTAGCGGGGCAGTTAGATTATGTTATGAAGTAAGTTGATTTTAGTAAAACCAAAACTTAAGTTTAGCAGAGAGTTTTTATTAAATATTTGCTAATTTGAGGTAGACTTTAATTCTTTTTGAACTTTCCCTAATCACCTCTACCCAATTTCGTATTAAATGCTCTAATTCTGTGTATTTTTTTTTGTCTCTGTCCTCTTATTACCGTATTATTGATAACTTATTTCCTAAATCTATTTCAGAGAGAGCGTCGGCGTCAGGAACGTGAAGCAGCTTTAAGAGGTTCAGCAGCTGCTTAGTGTGATATCAGGGTTGGAAATTCTATCTAGCATACTCCCTCCGTTACAATTTATGTGAACCTATTTCCTTTTTAGTCCGTGCTAAAAAGAATGACCACTTTCCCTATTTGGAAACAATTTACCTTTATACAATGATTTATAGCCACACAAAATATATGTGCCTCATTTTACACCACAAGTTTAAAAGTCTTCTCTCTTTTCTTAAATTCCGTGCCCAATCAAATGAGTTCACATAAATTGAAACAGAGGGAGTATTATTTAATTTAGCCTTGTCTCGAGAGAAAATCAACTTAATTAAAAAATATGAAAGAAATTGGAGCCATACACGATTGTACAACATGTTTTTGTTGGTTCCATGGTAAATATGGAGTCACAATCTGAAGTTGAGCAAAGTGCTGTGCATGGCTTACACTAGAAATGGAAGAAAGAAAAAAGAAGATAATGCTTCTTACCATGCATGCCTGCTATTTTTGAAAAGCCTTGTGACAGAAGTTATTTAGAAGCTTAGAGCATAGTGCTAGAACGTTTTCAAAGTTGATTAGTGTTCTTTTGCTTTGTATGATGTAAGATTATTGATAACTTAACGATACTTGCTAATCTTACAAGCCATCGGATGGTTTTAATTCTTTGGTGTACCCCTTTCATTTTAGTTTAATTACAACTTTATCCCTTTTTTTTCTCCTTTTATGAAGATATTGTGTTGAACATGGATGCCAATCTAGCTTCTACTTTATCTTTCTCAACAGGAAAACTAAAATAGCTATGGTTATAGATTTCTTGCCATATCAGAAAACTTGCATAAAGTTATTATAGAGATCTTCGAAAATTAGTTAATTGCATGCTAAGCATAATTTGCTTGTGATTAATGTCTTTGAAACAGAAAAGAAGGTGGGCGCTCTAAGTTGACCACCCCATCCAGTAATGGACAATGAGGGGGTATATCAATCAAAAATTCGAACCGCTTGATTGACTCCAAGAGTCTGCGACGGTCATGCAACACTATCTTGAATTCTCCTGATAAACGAGCGTGCTCACTCTCGATGTCCATTATAACCAACGTCCTGATTTGCACAAAAATGTGCAAAAATATAGTATGAGTACATGACAACATGTACTCAGTAAGTAACAAGACTAACCTCGGTGAAGTAGTGACGAGGTTCAAGTCATGTGATACTCACTAATCAAAGAACATGTGCAACATTTATATAATTACTTGCGACAAGGATATTACAGGATGCAATACCATCAACTCAACAAATATGAGATATCAACTCAACATAGATAAATCAATCTTGACAATCAAATCATCAAATAATAACAGAGGCATATGATAGCATGTTAAGTGCAACGTGAAAATATGTGAAATGCATGACAACGCAACGAATTCACTTGCATGATCAAGAATGCCACCTTATACTACTCATTATCAACCGAGAATAGAGCTGTCAAAATGAGCCAGCCCAACCCAGCCCAAGCCTCGCGGGGTTTTAAATTTGGTGGGCTAGGGCTGGCCGGTCTGCCATCTAAATGGGCCTTAAAATGGCCAGCCCAACCCAACCCTAAGAGGGTTGCGGGCTAGGGCGGGCTGGCCCTTCGATTTTTTAGAAAAAAAAATTCTTCAAATCTTTAAATATTTCTTTGTGACATAGTCTCTTAATCATCGATTTCTGTTTGTTTAGAGCGTACAAGAATCTTGATATTTGACTTGTAATCTCGTAATTGAAATGCAAATTCTCTATATCTCTAACTCTTCTTTTCTAATGTTACATTAATATTTTTTTAATACTTTTCTTTTACTTTTTCCATGTTTAGGGATTGCTTCAATACGTTTATATGTTGAGATTATTTAATTTAGGTTTAACATCATTTGTTGATTTTATCATTATAATCCATAAAAATTTTAAAATTCATGAAATTTGCTAGTGTTGTCAATTTTCTTTGGTTATTAAAACTTGACCTTTTTCTATACTGAAGAGCAATTTAATTATTAGTGATATATTAAAGTAACTAAATTGATCATTGGCCACTTAAAATAATATTTTTTTTTTGAAAAAAATATTATTGGCCACTTAAAACTTTCCTATTTTGTTGTTAATTAAGCAAAAGAAAACTAATCTGTCATACTACATGCATATCAAAAATCTAAATTCTAATTGATATGGAAGGGTAAATGAGCAATCTAAGGTTGGGGAATGGAGATTATAGTTAATAGTTTTTTTAGTTTTTACTTTTTTTAAATATTAAATATTAAAATTTAAATGTAATTAGTTTTTGGCCCACGGACCGGCACAACCCAGCCTCGTTCAAGCCTCAAGGGCAAGTGGACTGACTTGGGTCGGACTTATAAGCCTCAATTTTAAATGAGCTAAAAAAATTCCAACCTAACCCTATCCAAGTAGCGGGCTGGGTTGGGCTGGCCTCACGGGCCAAACCCATTTTGACGGCTCTAACCTAGAATGCCATACTTAAACTCCCCATTGAAATCAATCACATCAATTTAAGTACCATAATCCGTGTGTAAGCCATCAAGAGAGAAACATGAGAGGGCAACTCTAGGAGGATAGATCTGTATCCACACGCTGCACGACAAAAACCTCATGCCATAGCAATAAGCGCACGACAAAAACCTCGTGCCATATCGGTAACCATATCATCATAATCGTATGTCAAAGACCTCGTGCCACAACATTATTACAATAACAATATTTTCATGGAAGAGACCTCGTGCCAACACCCAATCAATCTGCTCAACATGTCCATATGTGCCATGATCATAACAAATTCAAGATAACAATTTATCATCAAGAGACATATTCTCACAATTCATTAATAATGTGCACAAGGACATGAAAGCATTAAAATGCAGATGTGTGCTCAAGATATAAGACGTGATTATGACAAAATCAATTTAGCAATAATTTTACAAATGCCCATCTTGGCTAATTAGTAGATACTAACCCTAAAACATGATCTCTAGCATAAAAGGATAAGCTCACGCAGTCATACAAAGGATTACACATGTAACATAAATAGCACACAATTAAATTAAGGGATAGTAAAAGACTAGAGTCTAATTCGATTTTTTTCGTACATAGCACCCGCATATACGCTCGTCACCTCGCATATACGTTGCTTTATATACATAACAATTAAATAATTAAGGTCCAATCCTAAAGGTTATTCTCTGACACAAGATTAAGCAAGATACTTACCTCAACAAGCCCAACTCAACCCTCTAAAATCGACTTTCCCATAGAAATCACCTCTAACAGGCTCGAGTTTAGCAAAACATAACTCACTAACGTCAACAAATGCTATAGGAATCAATTCCAAATAATAAAGCTTCAATCTTTATTTAATTTCCAAAAAGTCAATAAAAGTCAACCCAAGCGCATACGGTCAAAATCCGAGTCAAGAGGTAGATCCTGACTACCCATAACCCCATGTATCCAAATATGTGATTAGATTTCAAGATGAAGTCCAAATCATATCTCAAACCCCTAATTTACATTTTCTTAAATAGTAGAAAAAATTCTCAAATTTTCCTCAAATTTCTATATTTTGGGTATTAATAATCCATGAGGAAACGCGATAGATTATCAAAATCAAGTAGAAATCACTTATCCTCTTGCTTTGTATAAAAATCCTCTTAAAAATTGTCCCTCTCCAAGTCTAGGGTTCAAAATATAAGATATGGGTCTAAGTCCCGAAATGACACTTAATAACAAGTTGTAGAAGTCGCAAATGCGACCTTCACAAATGCGAACTTGGTCCATGCAGTAGACTTCGCAATTGCGACCAAGAACCTAGCAAATGCGAATAAGTTGCGAATGAGAAGCACCTTTCGCAAATGAAGATGTCGCAATTGCGATACAAGCTTCACAAATATGAAGCCGTCCTTCACAGATCCATATCGCAAATGCGAGCAGACCATCGCAAAGATGATGTATGCAGCACCAGCAGATCTTCCAACTTTCAAAACTCAATCCAAAACCAATTCAAAACTCATTTGAGCCCCTCAGACCCCACACCAAACATCCATACAAGTATATAGACCACATACGAACTCGTTCGTAAGCTCAAAATACCAAAATAATATCCATAACTAAGAATCAAGCACCAAAACACATGTAGCATGCCTTCAAGTTCAAGAACTTCAAAGATTCACAACCAAGTGCCTGTTTTATGCCTAACCAACTCGGAATGCAACCAAATATTGCACGCAAGTTTCAAACAATAAAACAGACCTGTTCCAAGTCCTGAAATAACAATCTGAACCCCGATAGTCTCAAAGTCATCTCCCGACCAAAGTTGTGAACTTTTCAAACCTTCACATTGCCAACCTTCGGCAAATAGAGCCTAAACATCCTAGGAACCTCTAAATTCAAATCCGAATATACGCCTAAGTCAAAAATCACCGTACGAATCAATTGGAACCCTCAAAACATTAATCCAAGGTCGTTTACACAAAAGTTATATGTTGGTCAACTCTTACAACTTAAGCCTCCAAAAGTGGAATGAATTGTTCCAATTCACTCCAAAACCTTCCCGGAATCAAATCAATAATCTTGTAAGTCATAAAACCAAAATCAAGCATACAAGAATCATCAAATGGGAAAGCGGGGCTCAAATATATAAAATAACTGACTGGGCCGTTACATTCTCCCCCTCTTAAACAAACGTTCGTCCTTGTATGAGTTTAGAATCATACCTGAAATGCCAAAAAGGTGAGGATATCTACTCCACATATCATGCTCGGTTTCCTTGTTGCCTCATTGACTGGCTGACTATCCAGTGGACCTTCACTGATGCGATCTCCTTGGACTCGAGCTTCCGAACCTGCTTGTCCAAAATGGTCACCGGCCCTTATTTATAAGTTATATTCTCATCCAACTGCACAGTATTGAAGTCCAAAATAGGGGACTTATCTTTATGATGTTTCCGAAGCATAGAAACATAAAATATCGGATCAACTCCCGAAACACTAGGAGGCAAAGCAAGTCTATAAGAAATCTCACCAATTCTTTCCAACACCTCAAAAGGACAAATAAACCTCAGACTCAACTTGTCCTTCTCCCCAAACCTCATCACACCCTTCATAGGCAAAACTCTAAGAAGAACCTTCTCGCCTTCCATGAAAGCCATATCACAAACCTTCCGATCCTCATAACTTTTCTGCATGGACTGGGTTGTGCGAAGCCTCTCCTGAATTAACTTCACCTTCTCTAAAGCATCACGAACCACGTTCGATCCTAATAATCTAGTCTCGTCAGGCTCGAACTAACCAACCGGAGAACAACACCGCCTCTCATATAAGGCCTCATATGGAGCCATCTGGATACTAGACTGATACTCCCTTCGTTTCAAATTATATGATGTACTTTCCTTTTTAGTATGTTCCAAAATAAATTAAACATTTCTAAATTTGGAAATAACTCAACTTTAAACTCCTCATTTTACCCATTTTACCCTTAATGAGAAGCTTTTATAACCACACAAATGTCATGGCCCCACAAAGCTTTTACCCCTTAAGTTTTTAAAACCACAAGTTTCAAAAGTCTTCTTCTTTTTTCTTAAACTCCGTGCCGAGTCAAACTACCTCATCTAAATTGAAACAGAGGGAGTA